TGCAAAAAAAAAAAAAGTGGAAGAGGTAATCCCTTTCACATAAGGAATGGGCACCATGTCAGGACCCACAGAGACCTGGAAGAGTCCTCTAAGAGAAACTGAAGCTCTTGTTGAGGGCCAGCTTCACAGCCATGTGAGTGAACCACCTTGGGAGTGAGTTTGCTATGCTGTCCTACTTCGGCCTTCTGACTAGCTGGCATTATAGCACATCTGATTTTCTCATGGCAAAAGCTCATAAACAAAAACTTAAAAATCACTCATATTTAGAGGAATGCAAATTAAAACTATACTGAACACTTGTATTTTATCCCTCAGGCTGGCAAAAATAAAAATGCAACAGGCAGGAAACAGGCATGCTCAGGCATTGCTGGTGGAAATGCAAACTGATACCACCCTTCTGGAGAGAAGTTTGCAATACGCCATTTTAAAACTACAGGGGTCTGGGATGTAGCTCAGTGGTTCTGCTGCTTGCCTCACAAGCACAAGGTCCCAAGACTGATCCCCAGGAACAAAAAAAAAAAAAAAAGAAAAGAAAAGAAGAAACTACATATGCACTTACCCTCTGACCCAAAATTCCCACTTCTGGGAATCTACCTACAATATAAAAATACATATACATGTGGTTCTTCATTACAGTCTTGTTTGTAACTCCAAAATGTCAGAAACAACCCAAATGCCCCCATGTAACAATGTGGTTGGATTTTTTTTTTTTTTTTTGAGACAGGGTCTCACTATGTAGTTGAGACTGACCTGGAACTCACCATGTAGCCCAGGCTGGTCTTGAACTCACAGTGCTCCTCCTGCCTCAGCCTCATGAGTGCTGGGATTACTGGTGTGCATCACAACGCCCAGCCTGGATAAATTTTTTTTAAAGGTGAAGATTTCTATCAATATGGTGATTTTCAAGATTTTTTTTTTTAAAGTGTAAAGTATAGGACCTTCATGTTGAGATAAAATGCCAAGCATGGCAGCACATGCAAGTTTTCTCAGCTACCTGAGAAGCTGAGGCAAGATCACAAATTCAAGCTCAGCCTGGGCAACATAGTGAGACCATCTCAAAACAAAAGAATCAGAAGGGAGAAGAGCTGGGGTTGTAGCTAAGTAATAGAGCATACTTGGGTTTAATCCCTGGTACAAAAGAAAAAAGGGAGGTAGAAAATTAACTTGGACACTGTTGAACTTCACCTGCCCAGTATTTTGCCCTCAACTTCAGTTGTTTTGTTGTTTTTCCATGATGAAATTGAGGTGTTTTTTTAAAAGACAATCCCAGAAAAGGAAATACACTCTTCTTGGTGCATCTTATAGGCGATATGTGAGGTCAATCTTTTCCTGGTGAGACTAATCATAATCACTCCAGGTGTTTGCCAGGCTTGTTTACTCTTGGAGTTATCCTGAGGGTGTGCGAATAACTTATTTTACAAACTTCCACCTATACTCACTTTAGCATCAATCAGGTATGGCTCATATCTGCAACAGTGACTGACATTAAGAATATCAAGGCATACAAACAAGAAAATAGATTCTCTGGCAGACTGGGAGTTAGGACAATTAAATGTGATACTGGCTCTTGTACCAAGCCTGTAACTGAAAAGGGACACCACCAGAAAAACTGTAAAACATGAATTAGGTCAATAGTTTAATAGTACTTTAATAATGTCTTGATTTGATAATTATGCTATGGCTATATAAAAACACTAATGAAAAGTGGGTGAATGTTCTCAAAGTCCAAAATTACTTCAAAATGAAAATTTATTTCCTAAAAATTATAAATAGTAAAATGATCTTACAGAATCACTTTTTTGAGACAAGAGATCTCACTGTGATGCCTCAGGGCTCAATTGATCCTCCTGCCTCAGCTTCCCAGTTGCTAAACACAAGCACCTGCCACCATCCCTGCCTTCAATGATATATTTTAATGTGGCAATTCTATTACACTCCAACAGAAAGAAACCTAACTTAATAAAATGATTTGAGGACCAGGGATTAAGCTCAGTGGTGCTGTACCTGCCTCAAAAGCACAAGGTCCTAAGTCTGATCCCTGGTACCTACATACAAAAGAATTATTTTGAAGTTACCATAAACAACTTTCCCTAGTTAAAATATATAGTATGAAGTGAAGACATTAAGTAAAAAACTACAAAGAGATGGAGCATTCAATAGCATGGAATTACTGATCACTTCTACAATTACTATTACATGAAAATATAAGACAAAAATGAAAATGATACAATTTTACTTTGTGGCAGGGACTCTCTGACAAAGCCAAAATAAAATCCAGTACTGCAGTGCTGTGGGAAAAGAGGGTCTCTTGTAGGGCATGAGCAAGCTACACAAAAAAATCCAAACTATATTATTCTCTTTTACCATGCAATCCTACCTTTAGAAAAATGTATCTTAAATGACAGACAAGTATAGACTTTTGAGGATATTAACTTTAAGGCTGTAACTGAAAAATTAGGGGTTATCAATATTTGCCAGCCAAAGCCTTGATTAAATGTACAGTAGTATAGCTATAGGAGATAACTTGCAATTATTCAGCAACTCACAATACTACATGGTTAACTCCAATTTTGAATGAATTTGTGTTAAAGTGCTCATCAAGCTGGGCCTGGTGGTGGTGCAGGATGTATCCCAGCAATTGGGAGGCTGAGGCAGTTTAGCTCCCAGTTCAAGGCCAGCCTGGGCTACATAGCCAGACCTTATCTCATCACCGTCTCTCAAACTGATTACCAAAATGTTAGCTGTGAGGTGACAGTGAATTTTGTTTTGGTCCTAGGTTTATATCCAGCTTTTATTTTTATAATTCATGTATCAAGCTATTCTCAGCCAAGAAAACAAAGAGATAGATAAAATATAAAGCACTAATATCTTTATTATGGCATAAAGTAGTATTTTATACATTAACTCATTTTATAGTAAAAACATTTTATGTACAACTGTAAAGAAACCACTGCACCTATTAGCTCCAACATAAAAACACGGTTGTAATTCAAGTCATTCAGCTGTTTGACACATAAATTGGAAAATATTTTCTCTGTAGAAAACAGTAAAAATGATATTGTTTTCCAGGTTAGCCCAATAAACCCATTTTAAATAAAACAGAAGCTGAATTAGATTTATATATTTGAGTTCTGGTATCCAGACAAAACAGCTTTATTTACTGAAACCCATGTTTTTCTTTTTGGTACCGGAGATCAAGCTCTTGAGACCTTGCACTTAAGAGACAGATGGTGGAACCACTAAGCTAAATTCCCCAGCCCCCGTTTTTCATAAAATCAAATTGTACAAGGTAAAACTGCTATTATAATCTTTCGCTTTCACACTATTTACACCTGATTGTTCAGTTACCATATCCTTATAAGCCATTTATTCCTATCTAAATTTTGCAATGTTTTGGTTGTTATTAAAGCATGCCCAAGCCAGGCATGGTGGCGCACGCCTGCAATCACAGCACTCCAGGAGGCTGAGGCAGGAGGATCGCGCTGTGAGTTCGAGATCAGCCTGGGCTACACAGTGAGTTCCAGGTCAGTCTCAACTACATAGTGAGACCCTGTCTCAAAAAACGAAAAAAGCATGACCAGAATTTTGGCGAAACCAGAATATAATAAATTATAACCCACAAGGCACTTGTGGATAGGCTATATCATCCAGCACTTTCCCCTATTCCCTGTGGCTTAAGAGGATACCACGAGGGGCACAGGAATGAAGCAATAAAACTGACAAATGGACCAAGGAATAAAAGCCAAGAAAGTTCCAAGGGGACAGAAGACACTGGTCAGGATTCAAGGGTAGAGCTGAAGTTCAGACAGAAAAAGGATGCTGCCTCAGGATCAGGCACTGAGTTGGCTTGCAAGGTGCTAAGTAACAGCAGGAACGAGTTAAAGAACAGAAACCAGAGCCTAGATTTCAAAGTAACTGAATGAAAATGAGACGAACCATGCTGTTTTACCTTTCCCTTCAAAGCTTGTCCCAAGATTCCCATAACCATACTTTCTTAAAGACCTCATGCTGCCCATTAGAAGTTAACCTTTTGAGCCAGGGTGTAGCTCAATGGTGCTGCGTCTGCCTGTCAAGTGCAAGGTCCTGAGTTTGATCCCCAGTATAGAGGGGGGGTGGGATATTAAAGACTATCAGCAAATACAAAATACAAAAAAAAAAAAAAACCAAAACTTAACCTCTTGATATATTTATGATACACTAAGGTGATGACATACTCTTCAGCACTGTTAAGACTGCAATCTTGCTTCCTTTAATTACTTCTTGTTAAACAAATTTCATCTTTGAGTAGGAAGAAATGGAGCACAAACATTTAAACTCTATTTATCCAGTCTCCTTATTTCCAAAGAAAGCTATGGAGCCACCTTACACACCGGGAATTCCTTAAAGTCCCCGGCTTTCTGTTAAGATGTACTTCTATGTATACTATTCATGAAGAACTCACCGAAGCATCAGTAACCACATGAGGAGCTAAAAGCCTATCAAAATGCATACAAACAGGTAATCTATACTAAATGTATTTTATCCTCCAAATCTAGAGCATACACCAGCAAAAACTTACAGTTCAACTAAGTTTGAAATCTCGTTTCAAAACACTGCTCTGAATTAATTCTCAGTAGACATGTTACAGGACCACATAAATAACTGTTTAGCAGGAGGCCAAGGAATGCCAATTACAGATGAAAGCCTTGACTTACAAAGGATAAAGTGGTCTTCCAGAGATTGCTGCTTCCCTTAGGCATTTGTTTTAGAGAAGGACACTATAAAGAGATACTTTGGGGGCTGGGGATATAGCTTAGTGGTAGGGCACATACCTAGCATGTGCAAGGCCCTGGGTTCAATCCTCAGTATTATAAAAATAAAAAAGATCAACTCCTAAGTACAGTATAGGCAGATATGTGCTTGATTTTAATCTTTTTTTTTTTTTTTTTTGAGACAGGGTCTCACTATGTAGTTGAGACTGACCTGGAACTCACTACATAGTCCAGGCTGATCTCGAACTCTTAGGATCCTCCTGCCTCAACCTCCCGAGTGCTGGGATTATAGGCGTGAGCCACCACGCCCATCTTGATTTTAATCTTATAATCTAGACAATGTGTGTTAGAATAAAGATGTAATGAATTCATTTTCCTTTAAAATTAAAACCTGATAAAAAGAAGTAACAACAGCTACAAACAACGATCAAATAAAATAATTTAGATAAACCCTGCCCCTCTGCAAGGGATGGAGACTGGCCAAGTGGTCAAATGGAAGCACAATGTGCTTTTAATTGTGTGGAAAAATAGCATTCAGTTCCATGTTGCCAAACATAGTTGCTTCTGCCATATAAATCCTCTCCTAATCACTGACCAAATGCTTTACTAAAACTCCGCTTCTGGCCCGAGTTCTGTGATCTGTTACTTTTATTGCCACCTCCTGATCTCTGTCCCCTGAAGTTTCTGTTTCCTCCCCTCTGTCCCCTGGAGCCTCTGCCTCCATCTCGCTGTCCCCTGAAGCCACGGCCACCTTCCCGACCCCGGGAGCCTCGAAATCCTTCCCGTGGTCCCTCCAGCTCTGGCTGCTCTGTGGCCACAGCAAGCTGCCAGCGTCTGGAATCATGCCATTTCTCCTGTTGAGAGAAAGTTTGGTTCTTATCTGCTTTCATTTTAATTAAACTTAGTTAAAGAAGCATGAGGAAAAATATTTCTGTTGCTATTTCCCCAAAGAACAACCAATTTGATATCTGAAGTGTTTTAAAAAGGTCACTGATTCAAAATAACAATGACCCTCATGGGTCAAAGCTAGTGACACTGATGTGGGAAAACAGCCTTCCTACAAGAGGTAACCCTCATCACTACACTGCTGTTCAATTCAATTCCTAGGGGACCTCTACAACTGTCAGGGCTTGTGAAGTGAAGTATGTCATGTATAGTTAGTTACACTGCCCACACCAACAGGAAATAAAGATGTATAGAATAAAAAGGAAAAAAATGTCAAAATTTGAATTATCATCTGTCTTTCAGAAAAGGGATAGAACTGCTTGCTATGTTCCAACCTATTATTCTGTATTTTCATAATGAACATGTTATAATTTAGGTATGTTAACTTTAAAATCCATGAGAAAAATACCTGTATTTCTGTGACTGCAGCAGTACGGACATCAAAACAAACACCCTAGAAATCAAAGCAAATGGCACTTAATCCAACACATACACATTAAGTGATACAGTGAAATATGAGCTACTATGGGGGGAAAAAAACCCTACCAGGTATTAATTTTATATGAAGTTTAACCCAAGGCCAATACATAATTAATTCCCAAAAGCACAAGAGCTGAAAGTCAAGGAATATTTTTGTTTATTTGTTTTTGGTACTGGAGATTGAACTTGGGACGACCTTGCACTTGTGAGGCAGGCGACAGAACCACTGAGCTAAATCCCCAGCCCACAAGGAACACTTTTAACGACTTGAAATGATTTGGAACCTCCTAAACATTATAGATATTTGGGCCCTGTACTAACCATCAAGTAGCTACCAGCTACTTTTTCTTTTTTTAATAAACAGAAAAGGTTTATTTTGAATAAGGGCTCCAGATATTGTGACAAGTTTCTCTTTAAGACAACAATTCAGAACACCACCATATGGACCCCCCTTCTGGGTAGTGCAGACAGGCTATTCAGTTTGTTTCATCTTACAGCTGAGGAAAGAAAGGCTGGCTGACTTATCTAATGGCCTGTGTTAAGTGGAGATGGTATTTAAAATCTGATTCAATCCTTGATACTAAATACCTTCCTCTCCCTGTAGCCACAAAAAGTCAAAACTTTCATAGTATCAGTTGGGCATTACCTGCCCTTTTCACGCTCATTCTCCCATAAACGTATAGTGAAGCTTCCCAGCTTTAAGGATTAAAGAGTTTAAATCTTATACTTGATTTTGAGATTCTGAATTAAGTTACCTGACTGAGCCATATAGGTGGAGATGTCAGGGAAGTCGCTGGACCTTCAAGTCTGGCACTGTATGCAGAATGGTTTGGACTACACTCAGGATAGTTGTTGCTGGGCATGGTGGCACACACCTGTAATCCTAGCACTCAGGAGGCTGAGGCCAGAGGACTGCCATGAGTTCAAGGCCTACCTGGGCTATGTGAGTTCAAAGGCCAGCCTGAACTACAAAGTAAGACCCTGACTCAAAAAAAGAATATATGGGCTGGGGGTTTATCTCAGTGGTTCTGCCGCCTGCCTCACAAACTCAAGGCCCCAAGTTCGATCCCCAGTACCAATAAACAAACAAACAAACAAACAAATAAAAGAGTAGTTATCCGTTGACAAAAAGATGCACTGTCCCCACTGGGCAGAGAGAAGACACCATCCTGTTTTCCTGCCCACAATGAGCTACGATCCCAAGGGAGGTCACAACAGAGCATATGGCCTTACCAGCTTCCCTTTGAGAAAGACCATTCCCTTCACTTTGGAATCAATATCCTCTCCCAGCTGCTCTTTTAGTTCTTTCCAAGCATAACTGATGTTTGGCATTTCAACTGAGCACCGCAGGATCATGGTCACAAAACCCTATGGAAGAAAGAGGAACAAAATTAAAAGTGTCAAAACAAGCCTATGTGTATCCTTATAAACACTCTTACAATTCTACATTATTTCTGGAACAGTTCTTTCTAAAAGCTTACAATACACACACACATAAACACACACGTACATACATACATTTTTAGTACATGTAAAACTAGGAAACTCTTCGTTAAGACAGGTAGATTTTATTGATGTCAAAATACTGGTTGTGATTCAGTTTTCTGAACTATTACCAGAGGGAAACTAGACAGAGTATAACAAGGGATCTTTATGTTAAGTCTTTCTTTTTCTTTTTATTAATCTTACTGGTACATTTTAGGTATACATTATGACATTCATTATTGGAAATCTGTACCTATAATGTATCTTGATTCTTGTTTTTTCCCCATTCCCCTGCCCTCCCTTCTATGTTACGTCTTTCAACTACATTTCAATCTACAATTATCTCAAAAAAATTTCAAAACCTCAATCTATACAAGGGAAATAAAAGCATACAGCTGAAGATATAGCTCAGTCTCACAAGTGCAAAGTCCCGAGTTCAATCCCTGGTGTGTGTGTGGGGATATGTACCTTCTAAAGTTTCCATGCTGGTGAACCGATGAAACATTTATGCGTACACATTTGGGGTGTAACTCAGTGTAGCTTCAAAATACATTCAAAAATTTGCTCCCACCACCACTATGTTTTTGTATTTTTTTGGTACCGGGTATCAAACTCGGGACCATACCCTTGTGAGGCAGGTGGAGGAACCACTGAGCTAAATCCCCGGCCCATCACCAATATCTGGAACTGCAGAAAACTTCATTTCTACCAACAGTAAGCCTAGGTGCATCCATCTGCAGTCCCTGCCAATCCTCCTGCCACCCATCCACTGGGAACCATGAATCTATTTTGTCTCTATGGATTTTAAATTAGAAAATACAATTAGTACCTTTTTGAGAAAGTGAAACTGGGAAGTTTAAACAAATCCTTATAAATCCTGCTCAAACCCCAAAATTATAAAGTATAGAAAATTACCGCCTCTGAGTTGATCAAGGAGCGCTGGTCTACTGATGTGGCCCCTGAAATGTGGGCCAGCGCTGCTGCCAGGGCCTCCACAGCTCCCTTCTCTTCTATCAGCTTCTCAGCTGACTGTTTGAAATGGCCAATGGCAGTGGGAGGCACAGAGTCCAAAAGCCTGAGTTTGACAATATATTCATTAAGGAACAGATGGCAGGCAACACCATTATCATGACATGTAATACATAAAAAGTAACAACAATTTTAAACTGAGCACTAATATGGTCTCATTATAAACAGATGAAATGAAAACAGATACAACAAACTATCTTAGTATCATTAAACAATGATATAATCGTGTGGTGGGGTAGACCCATAATGCCAGAAGTTGCAAGTTGACGCAAGAGGAATCACAATTTCACTGCCAGCCTAGACTGTATCACACAGCCCCGTCTCAAGGAACCAATAAAAACAAGAAAAGTGATAACAAGTAATGTCAAACTCTGTAATCCCAGCACTGTGGGAGGCTGCAGCAGAATGCCAAGTTCCAGCCCACCCTGGGCAACTAGGGGATATTCTATCATCCATTTATTCATTGAGAAGTAAAAACATAAAAGTTTTAGAAGGCCAGAGTACACCTCAGTGTGAGGTGTCAGGTTCAATACCTGTCCTGAAAAATAAGTAAACAGAATTATGTTAAATTTTTTGGTTTTATTTATTTTGATTTTTTTTTTTTTTAAGACAGGGTCTTGTTCTATAGTTTGGGTTGGCCTTGAACTCACTATGTAGCCTAGGCAGCATGTTACTTTTAGTCAGAAAATACCTGTTACATTCTAGAATAAAAGATACCTTAAATCAGGTTTAAGACAACAAGGACTCCTTTTCTTGTGTGGTACTTGCAATCAAATTCAGGCTGGTCTCTACCTTTGATCCCTTTGCCTCAACTTCCCTCAGTGCTGGGATTACAGGTATCATGCTGGGTTCATGACAGAAGATTCTATGAAACTGTATTATTGTTCGGGGGTTGCCATCATGGCAGTACTGATCATCACACCTCACAGAAGAGAACATCTCTGTGATCTACCGATGCTTTGTCTCTTTTTTTCCTTCATGGTCATCTAATCTCAAATCTTTCAAACTGGCATCCTAGGGAGCTTCATTTGCAGGACTCTTAAAAGTATAAGGGAGTAGCTGGGCATGGTGGCACATGCCTACTGTAATCCCAGCACTCAGGAGGCTGAGGCAGGAGGATCGCTGTGAGTTCGAGACCAGCCTGGGCTACACAGTGAGTTCCAGGTCAGTCTCAACTACATAGTGAGACCCTGTCTCAAAAAAAAACACAAAACAAGGGGGAATGGATGTATTATACTCACTGATCACCCTAAATACAAAACTAGTAGGGAGGATGGGGCAAGGTGGCGATGGGGAGGTGAGAATGATCAAGATATGCTATGTGCATTTGCAAATCTGAAAAAAAAATGAAACCATTAATCTGTACAACCAATTAAAGGGGGGGGCACAGGTTTAGCTCAGTGGTGCCCTGCCTGCCTCGCAAGCACAAGGTCCCGACTTCGATCCCAGATACACAGGAGGATGAGGCAGGAGAATCCAAAATTCAAGGCCAGTATCTCACCAATTTAGTGAGATACTATCTCAAAAAATAATTTTTAAAAAGGGCTGGGGAGCTGGGCACAGTGGCACATGGCTGTAATCTCAGCACTTCGGAAGCTGGGGCAGGAGGACAGCCACAAGTTGGAGTCCAGGCTGGCCTACATAAGTTCAAGGCCAGCCTGAACTACATAGTAAGACATACCCTATCTCAAAAAACAAAAGCAATCATGTAAAGGTACAAGATCCCAATGATTAATGTAATTGTATTGTTTGCTTTGAATGTACCAATAAACTTAATGGAAAAAAAAAAGATCTGTTTTTAGATACATTAAAAAAAAAGCAAACAAAAGATAAATAAGTAAATAAATGAAAAAGGCCTGGAAAAGTAGCACACACAAGGTCCTGGGTACAATCCTCAATATTAAAAAAAATTTTTTTAAATCAGTTCTTATTCTACCATGTGGGAAAACTAACTTAATGATGATCGGAAACAGAATTTGTGATTAATCAGTCACTACACTGACACAGTGGAGCTATCATTCCTTAAAATGTCTAAGATAGGGCCAGGAATTTAACTCAGTGGTTCCACCGCCTCCTCGCAAGCACAAGGAACCAAGTTCAATCCATGGTACCAAAAAAAAGAAAAAGTGTAAGATAAACCAAATTGGGCAGAGATGAGAAATGAGGACATTTACTGTATCAAATTCTACCTAGTCTGAGTATTTTTATGATAAGCAGATTATCAACTGCTGGAAATATCAAGTAGGGGTGCCAGTGATTTAGCTCAGCTCAGTGGTGCTGCTGCCTTCCTTACAAGTATAATGACCTGAGTTCGACTCCGAGAGAGAGAGAGAGAGAGAGAGAGAGGGAGACAGAGAGACAGAGAGAGAGAGAGAGAGAGAGGCGTGGAACCACTGAGCTAAATCCCCAGTCCCTAGAAAGAAAGAAATATCAAATAGGGCCAGAGGATGTAGCTCAGTAGTGATGCCACCTGCCTCATAAGTGCAAGGTTCTGAGTTCAATCCCCAGTACCAAAAAACAAAACTTCGATCTCTATCTCTGCAAAGAAAACAAAAAGGTCAAATCTGTACTGCAGAGGCGTTCAACATACAGCATGAGCACCTCAGTGACAGTAGGGAACGTACCTGATAGCGTCTTTGCTAGAAGCTTTTATTATTTCTGTGGGAGAAGGGACACCTATTCGTTTAAATTTAATTCCCTGCAAGAAAACCCGTAATTTAATGTTATAATGGCCATCAATCATTTCGAACAACATTACTAAACTCCCAATATTTATATATCTATGAAACACTACTTGTTACATTTAAAAAGCTTTTAATTTTAGGTGTACATACAAACTGCAGACAGTACACAGAGCTCCTGGATGGCATGCACAGGTTCCAGCTAGCCACAGCTTACATTACTAAGGTATACTTGTTAAAACTAAGAAGTCAAGGGCCAGCGATTTAGCTCAGTAGGACCACATGTGCCTCTTACGTGCAAGGTCCTGAATTTGATCCCCGGTTGCAGCAAAAGAAAAAAAAAACAAAAAAAGAAAAAAGAAAAAAAAAACTAAAAAGTCGATATCATTAGATGAGGCTCATGGATTTTGAGGGGAATTCGATTATTATCTGGTCCCAGGAATGCTTGTTGGGCTGTGCACTGTAAGTCTTCACCACCTACCACACTCTTTAAGTTAATAAGCACAGCCCACTCTAGGGTGCGGGGGAGGTTAGGATTCACCTCCTGGAGAAGGATTTACAAACAGTATTAAAATTCTGTAAGGAAAAGTCTCTCCCCTCCCTTAGCCTTATGATACTCTCCACCTTTGGTTTTCAAGCAAATCCTGTATCTCCTAATCTGATTAAATTATTTCTGATATGTTCCTATTGTTTGTCATTGTCTGAAAATTACTTTAACATTGAAAAACTCCTTTTTTCAAACACAAAGTTGTTTTAAAATGGACCTTATATCATAGGTATAAACACATAAACAACATATATATCTACCAAGCTTTCAATCATGGCCACAAGTTAGAAATAAAGATAACAACTTAAAATTAATAAAAATTAAATAAAGAAACCAAAGACTGGCTTTCAACCACGATATAACTGTTAATAAAGGGTAAATAGTTTTACCGCTTTCTGCTCCACTTGTGCTAACTGATATTCTTCTTTGTGCTGATAAAAGCAGATGCAAACCCCAGTCCTTCCAGCTCTGCCCGTCCGCCCAGAACGGTGAATGTAGGACTCGACATCCTGTCAAAGCGAAACGTGTGTGATACAAAGAGGCGCACCCAGACGACCCAGTCAGTGAAGAACAGCAGTGGAGGCATGAGGAAGGACACTAGCGCTTCAAGAAATCTGCAAACAGTTCTCTTTCTTAACTATATTTTCTACTTCAAGTAGCTATATAAATGAAAGATTTTAAAAAAGGATTAATAAGGCCGGGGATTTAGCTCAGTGGTTCCACTGCCT